CCGTTATCCGAGCACGATTCACGATGCAGGAACATATCGTTCTGCAGGCGAACCGTGCAACATTTCCCTTACATTGGAAGATATGTTTTTTGTTGTACTATCATAGCGCTTGCTATCCTCATTCTTTAATGTTAAGTAAATAGCTACTTACCTATGTCCCTGTGGAGAATACAGGTCACCCCTGGAGGATCGACTTGAACCAGATAGATAGAGCGTTACTTAATATTGATCGTCATCTTGTTTCCAGCTACTCAATACGACTATTAGAGTAACCATTATAATCCCCAACGAAAATCAGTAGCACTAACGGGCACAACGATAAATATGTGAAAGCAATTAAATATTGGTTAGTTTTGCCTGACTAACTAAGCGATACAACGAAGCACTCTTCATCCCAGCGTCGGCGTTACGCAGATGGATTCTATGTGCATTATAGTCTCTGAAAGCACCCATGGAATGACTGGAACAGAGGGGACCCAGTAATAACTGAACAAGAGAGTTTTTAGAATCCTTAGCTGTTTTAAGGAAGACAGAAGGTGACAGATGATAAGCTTACCACTGCCACTTAACTCTGTCGTCTGCCTGTCGTTCTCGACATTACCTTGCAGCTGAGTCTGACACCCTTCAAATTGAGTTAAACTCTGCTAACGCAAAGGGAACAGCCCAGACGATTATCTTGGCAAGGTGGAAGCCGTCCCGAAGCGGACAACGCACCAGCTGTTAATTTTGCCTCAAAACCCACAGTGGCAGCATTCCGACGTCGGACGTCATAACGGTATCTGGGGTGCAGCAGATATTGACAGTCGGAATTTTTGTCAAGCGTTACAGATACATAAGCATCCCTATACGAATAGGCGAGAGGTCTGTACAGAACACGGCGGACTGATTACCGAACAAAACTGAAGGTCGTTTCCAATTCGACTTATGTTCCGAGTAGAGCAGATACCGATAAAGCAACGCTAACGATTAACCTAATCAATGTAGTCTAAGCCTCTTTTGTTCAAAGGAAAATGTATGTTTCCTCGCAACGTCAAGCGGTACTACCTGTTTCATGTTTTTAGCACCAGTTCGCTATTAAATTGTCTACGTATCTTGTATATTCATTTGGGCCAGGCAAATAGATAAAGATAAGCAAATATCGATTGTCTTATTTCTATAATCTCTTTGAATTTGGGAGTTAAATCGAGTTTATGTTCGTTCTGTCCCGTAACCAACTGAAGATTGAAACCATCCCTGACATCAGGCTATACCAGCTGCAATAACAACCTGCGGAGTGGTGAAATACTTATGGCGAAGCATGGAATTATGACGCAGCCAATTGGAATCTATACTCAGTCACTTGCCTTTCACAAACGATTGTGGTGTCAGATGGAAAACCAGAGATCGAGTTTAGCAGCGATGTTCGAGGATGCACTGTCCTGCCGTCATAAGACGTAACAATCCGACCAATCGAATAGAATAGATCACTGCCTGATTCTTTGCCGTTCCATAGCAGTGTAACTTCAAATGTATGATAATAATAGGAAGGCGACGTTTACTCAGTGACACGTTTGCGTGACACCCCCGCTCGACGTTACACTAGACGGTAATGCCGTCTTGACTATACATCGTAGGAAAGCTACGTGCTGTCGTCGTTATCGAATCGTACATTTGGGAATTGTTTTGCTTAGCTAAACAGACGCGTGTGTTTGGTTTTTTTCGTTTGACTCTTTTTTGCTGGACGAAGTTTGATGTCTGTCGTTATGCGACCACTACAGTTCTTTCGGTGGATATATCTATCAGTTTTTGCTGGTGTTAACAACTCTCAGAATTTCAATCTTTTACAGAGCAAAAGAAAAATGCGGATGCGGAAAATCCATCGCAATACACTTGTCTGTCTCACCACAGCCTATTCTCGGAACTAGAAAGATAGAAAAGCATACTCGACTATCAACAATGACAACATCTCCATTTAGGCTGACACACAACAGAAGCGCGGCAGCTGAATAGAACCTGCAGAGATCTATAGAGCATTAGTTGTTACCGTGATTAATCCGGTAAAGCCGGAATTCACTGCATTTGCCTGAAGATATTTTTGATTGCCAAGGTCGCTTACAGGGTTCATTGGTCAGCACATGAGCAGTACGAATAATTGTTCATCGTAAGTAGTTTAAGCTTGCACTGTTTCCGTTTTATCAATTTCTTGAATGCGAATGCGTTCTAACTGTCGGAACCTAACCGGCCGCTACCTTGATAATTCATCGAGAAGAATGAGAAGAAGACAAAGCGAGAAACACCACAATCAATAACCGTTGATACGGTGTGTTGGTGCTTTCAACGACCCAAGTTGCTTACAACAACCACTGGCGTTGTTACGACCCCACGCAACCATAAGACCGGAGGTCGCAGGCACCTATAGTACTGGTTCCTTTCTTCGCTTTGTACCCTTAGCGTAGTTGTGGGTTTGTTTCACTTAACTCACAATTGACCTTCTCGCTGGCGCCGGTACCGCCAGTTTTTGAAACCGAAGTTGAAATGAGACTTCCTCGTATACGTAGGCTGACTGGCATCTTCTTATAGTGCAGCGACACTGTTGTACAAAAGCCAGATGAGCTGGTGCATGGCAGCAAGCCATAAATTACGGGTAAACTAATCAGACGATATCAGCTACAGTTTTCCACCGATACAGATGGCCATGCCGGTGGGCAGTATAAAACGGGTAGATACGTTTAGAATCCCATATACTACGTAACTGCTTTAAAACGACTGAATATTACTTGGCAGAAAGTGTTGTGAAGAGCTGGCAGCATCGAGTGTAGTTGATGCAAATATGCATTTACCGATACTCTTCATAGAAAAAGGTAGAATCATCTGCCTATCCGTTTGTACCAACGACGACAGTCACCATGCAATTTATATGGAGACGGTTTTTTACGCACACGCAAGCATATGGAAAATGCCGTCTGCTTAGCGTGTTGCCTGCGTCAAAATGGCACCATTTGAACGAGTGCGGTCTGTTGACGATGCGCTTCGGTTAATAGTTTTCTGCGATCATTGTTTGTTATTTTTAAGATCCATTAACGATTAAAATCTGGCTATCCCGTAAGCAACAACTAGCTCGAGTGCTACGATTAGTGGGATCGAACTTGGGCTAACTGGAATGACGTAAAAACGGCGAAAAAAATCAATACTTAAATTTATTGGATAATATGTACTTCCAATAACGTGCTCATGTGACAGACTAACTTTTGGATTGTGTCCTCTATTTGCACATATGTCCTGATAGACGGACGGGATGTGCAGGAAATCTTCTTCTCTCCGTTCGAATTTGAGGCAACGGAGAACAGGACGGAGGAGTTTTCAATCACATTTGTCTATTCTCCCCTCTTTCGCTAAAAGTTTCAAACCGACTGAGACCTTTTAGGACTGGAATGACGCAATATTTTCGGTCCATATTCAGAGATTTAGGTCGCAGACGAATGTCCCTTCGTAAATTCGCGCGTTCGCTCGAGCTAACGTCAGCTCAAGCATCAGATCGCACGACAGTAACTACTTACCATTACGATTGTATGACGGATTTCGCTTAATAAGTCATTCGTGTTCCGTGACGGGAATCAACACAGCTGTGATTACTATAGATTATGTATTTGAGAACTGCCGAAGAATCCATGTGATTGTCTATGAATAATACTATGACTAGCCATTACGCCCTCGAGCCACCTAGGATACGATTTCGCGCCAGACGAATCAAGTCACCGTTAACAGTCAGCAGCAACACTACATCATACTACTTGTATCGGATATACGCCCCCCTATTTCCAAAATGTGATCATCTAAAAGAATTTATGATATAACATGGATTCGAAAGTTGACAATCAGCATTATTTTCCATCTTCCCATGCGTTTTATGAGAGTAAACGCAGCCATTTTTGTTTGCACTAAGAACTATTATAGTATGGTCATAGTAGAAATACCTTCCATTAAACTGTACGTCGGAGCTACTTGAGCTGCGGAGATTTCATCAACAAAAAATTCATACACAGGACGAATTGACGACGCAGCGGTCTTCTTATGTCTTTATACGTATGTCTTTTGCTGCTGCTGACGACAACGACGCCGCCGCCGCCGCCGCCGTCGTCGTCGTCGTCCGATGAACGAAGGTCAGCCGTGGCATGCCTACCAATAGCATATATATATGTGGATAGCGTAGCTAGTACCATCATATCAAGACTGCTTAAAAGTCATTTAGTGGTCGTGATGATGGCATCTAGGAACGGATGTTATTGCTACTGTTATGGTTAGTTTTTGGGGCGATTCGAACTGGCGTTGCTGTCGATGTTGTTGGACGATGGGTGGTAATGTGTCTAAACGAAGACCGGATCCGAGTGGCCCCTAGATGGCCTTGACGATGATAAGGAAAGGGGCCTGAAGCAACCAGGCGAGCTGGCGCATTCCGCATACGCATGCCTGTCGGCCTGAAACATATTTAGAGCTGAGTTGAACTGGGCGCTTCGATTTAGTGACACATGTGGGAATACGGATTTGTGATGTTCATCTTCACGCTAGCCAATATATACAATTTCTGCTGCTGCTATAAACAACATCAACGGGTAATAGCAACACTGAATAATAATGATAATAGTAATAGTAAACGTGTATTGCAACAGCTTCAAAATTATTGTTGTTGTTGGTATTGTTGACGTTCGAACTCGATCGTAGACGTTGTTTCCCGCTTTTTGCTATTTTCTGCTGGGCATGCATTTATAGTCGAGGATTATGGGGGGCGGGGCATTACGCACATTCTAAACATACGTAGTCATTTAAATATTACCTACGACGGCCCAGCATGAACCACTAGGCCACACAATAAACTGTTTATTATCGTTTTATTTCAATTAGTTTATTGCATTGCTGTGTACCTACATATTTCGCGAAATAAAAGTGTTAATTGCATAACCGGCACGCCGATGCATGATATTAACAAAACGTTGTGTTTGTGGTATTTTCGTTTGCTACTTCAGGGGGCTGTCGCTTTGAGCGTGATGAAGCCGCTCGGAGCTGATCTTGAAGTTGGCCACAATACTCTACTGACCGGCCTTCAGGCTGTATTCGGCAGTCCAATTCTGTCCTACATGAGGCATAACCTCCCACCAAGATCGCCGCGCACACCTCAGAAAAGGCCTCCTCAGGCGAACTCCCTCACTGCCGCCTGACATCAAGGCCCACAACAGGGCCCGGACGATTCTAAAGATTTACTGCGGGAACAAGCTCATCGGACGGAACGAACTCTCGTTGCAGTCGCTGATGGCGCTGCTGTTACAGCTGGAATCGTGCCTTCGGTTTTGCGGTCACGGGGGCGAGTCCATCAACAGCCGCAGCGGACAACCTCAATGAACTCTTCCCAGTCGTCTTCGTCTTCACAAGACAGCGAAAATGATTTCCTCGATAATGTTGAGCTTGCCGACGACCAGTTCTGCTCGGCACCTTGAAGGCGCTAAACGGGCATAACTCACGAAACAACTCACTTTCACTCACGCTAATAATGTAACAGATGATCAATAAAGGATCTGCTCAATATCTGATTCTACAGAATATAAGGCAGGATACTGGCAAGCAGAAGAGTAAGGCATAAAGGATCAAAAGATCAATTGGCTCGCTGCTAATTCAGGTGTCTTACGCTAGATGTAAGAGTGGCCGAGATTAGCAACTGACAAACAACTACAATATTTATTTGTACCGTAACAATGGAACGGAATGAAGGAAAAGTCATTATAGATTTTGGACGATCACTCAAATAACTATAACCAAGGATAATAATGATAATGATCCTGGTACTCATAATAATGACTGTAACAATATTATAGTTATAATCATTTTTCGTGATGACTGATAAAGGTCCGGAGGTAGTTGCGCCAATTCTACTGATTAGTATTGGCTAGACTATAAATAGTTTGTTTAGTAAAGTGATAAAGGTGACACTGATACGGATCGTCATAAGATATATGGAAAACGGACAGTTATCGAATGGATATCTATGTTTGGATCGAGCACATCATGGGCATATATGTTATGTATAACAGATTAGAGGTAGAAAGAATCAACGCTTTTGTATAGACAAGATGAACAACCGTCCTGGTACATGACGATATTTAATTTTAGTGTACGTGACAATAATAATGATCCTAAATAATTAGTGGATTGGTCGCAGTTGACGACTACGTGTGCCTGTATTTATATATACATACAATGTCCTAGGTAAATCCTGCCGTTCCACTTACTATAGTAGCCTATCCGTAAAAAATCAACTAGGAAAATTAAATTGGGAAACCTATTTTTCGCCAAGGAACCTACAGGTGAAGAACAGCAATACGGTGATAAGGGGCGCACGAGAGAAGCTTAAAACTGCTATAGAAGAAGTAGCTATTTTTGTGTGCGTTGTCAGCAGATACGAATGAAGTTGTGTCAGTGCTTCGACAGAATACCATTAATGAACCAGTTTGCTGTATAACGATTGTAGGCCTTTCATCTGGCAATTAGTTCTTGGAAGAACTTCATGAGACTAATTGTGCCTACTTCCAGGCACCAACTCGTATGGAGTATGTTGCTTACGAAGACTACTTCGAATTAAATTGTGCAAGTCTCCAAAAAACATTTGACCGTAGATGTAGCGAATGTATATATATTATCTCTTATTTATCATATGCTTGTTATTACATGTGAATACACAAAAATTAGAAAAATCTATCCTGTTATACTGTTTCTCAATTGGAAAAAAAATATTGGTTTTTGTTCTTCTATAAAATCTATGGTTAGACAGTACTCGCTGCACACCCGGTCCCGTCTCAACAATTTATAGCGCGATTTTTTACTTTGACGGCAGGGCAGAGGTGTCAATTCCACTGCAGGAAGGTTTTTTCGAAATACTAAGCAACTACAGGAAAAATTTCGCTCTATAACCTACTTGAGCTACGACTATACAGAGACGTGTCGATATAGATAATCTGATGATATGCAACACACACACACAGATACACACATATATATTTTATGACCGACAACAAAATTATATATACTTCTATGTGACATCGCGAAAAGCGGAAGGGTTGGATGTTCATGACAGGACGTCTGCAGAATGAAATTCTAGGCGTACGTATATATACGAAGAACGTGAAATGGCAGTTAGAGAATAATTACGTTCAATGACTGGTGGTCGACTGATCGATAAATTAATGAGCTGAAGTAAGGAGTGCGGTTGAGCGATTGTTGATGGATTAACTGTGATGCCGTTGGAGGCTGATAATAGCAAAGTGGCTAAACGAGTGTGATTTTTATTCGTATTGCAATATATTTTGCTATTTATCTACGCTTGTTGTTCGGAATTGGACAAGGACGGTTGTACAATGGAAAGAACGCGTTTTCTAGACTGAATGGGGCATTCGTTTGCTAATCCTAGGGAAGCATTGCGGTGTAGTTTCGAATCCGGGCATAGCAGACTTCGTTTCGTGCTGGGAGTCACCCGTCTGATGGAATGTCCAACGGCGACACCGGACGTAAAACTCGAAATAGACACAGAGACAGAATAGAAAAGGGGCGCGATTGATGTGCAGAACTTCCAGTATAGAAAAACCATAAGCATGGGATATACGATCACGTTAAGCAAGAGAAAATTCGACTGATGGTGCTGCTTAGAAAACAGGGGACGGCATTTGAGCACAATTTATTATCTTAGCCGAAAAGCTAAGGATAGATAGTGCTTAAATTAGTATATAATGTTTCAATCTGAGATTTAGATAAACAAGTTGCGCGTAGAAAAAGGTAAACAGTTTTAAAAGCAGGACTTAACAGGCGAAGTATATATAGCAACCAGAGCTGTTGTGAAACGATAATCCGCTGATCTGAGCTTATTAGTTTAGTGAAAAGGGACGTTAGAGCTTAATAGCGATATTATATTATAGGTCACATGAAAGTGCACGTAAAAAACTCAAAACGCGAACAGGAAGGAAAGTCGTGATGGGTGGCAAAGAAATATTGGCAGATAAAACAGAGGAAAAGTGAGTGTCAGCCTGTGTGTATATACATAGCCGGACGTTTCGATATGCTATTATTATAATTATATTTTGACATGATGCTACCATGTATATAATTCAATGTATATAAACAGTAAGTAATTTATTTAGTCGCAAAAACGATAAAAAGCCCCAATGGAAAAAGACGAAAAAAGTGAAGTTCGGAGGAGATCACGTCAACAAGCGAATGCGGAACGTAAATGTATTGTATATAAGGTGGTGAAGTTGAGCGGAAGCCTCGCTGGGGTCGGCAACGATACAGAGAGGCAACGACAGTATGAGGAAACCACACACACAAAAACTATAGGGCACGAATAATGCGTGTTTAACAAAAACACATAAAAAATGTTAATAAATAAACACGTTTTCATTGTTTCTTTCAATTCACGTGTATTGCCTCATCTGAAATGGCGTATTATAATCATAATCGTTCTAGTTTGTAGACGTTCTCGAACCACAACGGTTCTAAATAGTACAAAGGTCTTATACAAATTATATATTGTACAAAGGTCAATAGCGGAGTTAGCTAAAGGTAAACCAGATTTTTTTTACAAAGTTTCATCTGGAGTAAGCTCGCATGCAAACTAGTAATGCGAAATGGTTTCAATAATGCCAAAGCGAGCATGCTATCATAAAGTCAGCTTCTCTTGCTTACATACACGGCTAATACATCCTGAGTCTGGCAGGGCGGGAAATGTCATAATTTCTTACAAATCAGACGAAGGCGTATTTCAAAATCTGTGCTGGAATATCTAGTCGTGGCAATTGATTGTCTCAACTACAATTGGACAAAGAAATGATCCGTTTACCCATCTCTTTTCCTTTTTGCTAGTGGGAATGACACAAAGATGAAGTGTTTATAGTGGCTACATGAAGGCATCCTATCAAACGACGCAGTCATCCTTCTAAATTATGGACCAATTTAGTTCATCCATCTTTTTTACAGGCACAGAAACACACGACTGAAGAAACCGAAGAGATAAAATATTTAAGGATAATTTAAATAATTGAGTGGTTTATTAACATAGAATTTTTGTAGAATACTCTACATTTATAATGTAGAATATTTTACTGTAGCTGCGAAATACCTTACTCCATAAATATATGTAATGATAGCTTTGTTTTTTAGGGGTGTGCGATATAGTACCGTTGCATTGACGTAGTTCTATTGTAGTATCGAGCAGCGGTAGCAGGTCACTTGTCAGAACGCGAATCATTGAGGGCAAATTAACTTACCTTCCTTCCTTCTCACCTTCTTGAGCGGCCCTTCTCGAAGTTGAATGACGACCAACAGGCGTGCAGGTGAAGAGTAGAGTTCAGTTAGAACGAGACGGATACTAAGCACTACTGCGAATTTCATCGTAGTTGTATAGCTACTGGCGTTCAACTTCTTACAGAAGTTTTGTATCGACCAGAAAGAATCCTGCTCCAATGTCCTGGAAATCGCACGAACGCCAGGTATGCTAATGCGTTTCAGTAAGAAATTTGTACAACGGTCTTGGCATAGTCATATGGATGATGGCGGTGATCTTATGCATTTAGCAAATGGATGTCCAGCAGTTGTAATGCATACACGAGAGAATGATCGAGACCACTTGAAGTAATTGATACGATTGCAGGCTTCACATTCACCACAAAGTTACTTCGACAGGAGTAACGTATAGCCACTCCTAATGTAGAGTTAATGAAATTACATTGTTGTCTTGCAATATAAGTTTTACAAGACGCGTCGCGTGGGCGCGGTTACAAAAGAGGCGTCACATAGTAAAAAAACGCCGAAGCTACATGCTGCCACGTTGCATCTCTGTGCAACTTAGCAACGCGTCAAAACAAAGGTTTTGAATTTTTTTCTCGAAGCTTGGGCCTATGTTAGATCGTCTTAAAAGACCTTCATCCGCAGCATTTAATGTGATACTTGGCAAATAGTTACTCGACTTATTTTTAAGCATGTGTCATTGAATGTCCCAAAAAATGGGAACATTCATTTTTCCTTAAATTTCATTTTCGTTAAATTAGGGAAATTGCGAACAGGCATCGCCAAAGCTGTATTGAGAGAGCGATGTCTGAGACAACTATTTATTTGAAAAAAACTGGTCACAAACCACATGTAGGTCGATCCAAAAAACTCATCTCCTCTTAGCAGCATTATAGGCGAACAAGGCGACGTGTTCCTTAGTTCTTCAAAGGAAGCCAATTATATATGATGCAATAATAATTTTATGTGATATATTTGCCGAAACTAAGAGGCCATTGTGACATGTCAAAGCTTTTGTACGGAAGTCCTGAAATTGTATAAAAATAAATGGAGATCAATAAAATGGTGAGTTTAAAAACTGGTTTAATACTAATAAATCTGATACATGAATATCGGTATCTCAATTTAGGAATTTATGCGAGCGCAATCTGTTATCGACTACAGTACTTAGATCGAAGTCGACTTCGTTCTTGCTGAAGTCCATTCCTCAAAAGTTACCATGGCGTATTTTTCCGAGTTCCGATATTAAATCTTGTATATGCTTCAGCTCGTGCCGCTGTGCAAGAAATGTATCGATTATCCTTTGCATTCGAAATAAAATAGCAGAATCTGGTGGATATCAGCGAAGCTCAAATGAGAAAGCTACAGTTTGAACTTGTTGGGACGGCAACAACACTCTCTGCATTGATGGATAACGTCCATCTGGTCATGTAATACAGGCTGTATCAGGTGTACTCACACATTACACGAGGCCTGCTGTCGAATGACCGCCGCTAAAGCGAACAGAAGTAACGAAAAAACAAAGAGTATTCCTTTGTTTCTGTGTTGAACGACGCTTTAAAATGCGCCGCTCATATACAGGGCAGTGTCCCGGAGTTTGGACACATGTTGGCCTGCTGTTTGTCGTAGCAAGTATATGCTAAGCACCAGGCACTGGAATAAAATCCGTTTTTCAGAGAAGAAGCACAGGTATATGATGACAAAGGCATGCTCAGAATACGGGATATTGTTTAAAGTTTTCGCAGTAAACGGGCCTCCATTGACGCTATGCTTCATTGTACAAAATTACTGCTTTACGCTGTTACCAGAAACGCGACCGCTTGAAACAAAGTTAACTCAAAGGCACTTGAAACTAGCTAAAAAAAAAAAAGAAATAAGTCAATCTAATGAGCTATGGTATCTCCATTTGAAATCTATCTAGTAGTTTTAAAAGTCTTAGGTCGACTTCTTGTATACGCAAAGTCCAAGACACTGTCTAGCTAGCTTGTGCCCTAAGACAATTTTAAGCATTAACTATCTGACTCTTTGATTTCCTTCCATTAGAAAATGTTTACCGCTGATATAGAAGTCCAATGAAGAAAGATCATTGGTTTCTTTGTCGTCTCAACAATAATTCAATTGTAACCCGAAATAAATATGGTAACATTTTTCAAGAGACGTTAATGTGTTATGTCAGCGCGCGCCGTTGCATCGGCAAAACCGTAACGAAATAAGTTCACTCAGTACAGCATAAACCGACGGACAGCTGACGCAGACATGCCATCAGATCTCAAGTTGAACTTACGCTTGCTCGAGTTCCAATTCACACAGCCTAGAATACAATGGGTTGTGTGAAATTATAGGCTTACCAATAGCACGTTATTTGAGGTCAAATTTACAACGATGCTCGCTATTATTTAGAGTTTTGAAAACGATTTGTGAACGCTATAAATCTGAAATCAAAAAAAGGTAATTCCACCTACATTGAAGAAACACGTCTGTGACAGACGCCCTCCTGCCACACTAGCTGCGTTTCACACACAAACGATACCAACTGTGCCTAAAATTTTTACGCCTGTTACTGTTGTACTTAATGAAAGCTAGTTAGTAGCAAGCTTGGTTTTTATTGGCCTGTTTTGACAGAAACATCGAACTGGTAAGTGGTAGCCTTCTAATTAGTTAAAGCTAAAAATGCTAGCTTTTAGTAGGACTACTAATGTGACATCGTGAATTATCTAAGTGGCTAGATACCGGTAGCATCAGTAAGGGAGCAAGGGGTGTACAAATGTTGCTTTACGAGAGATTTTCTTTAGTGGCATGTTTCACTTTAAAAAGTTACTAAATATGGGCTGGTCTTAATATTTAGACGTCCGATTTCGTCACTATCGATAGTAATTGAAGGCATGACAAGTGTTCGCAAAAAGTATTTAGCCTTGATAGGATTGGCTTATGCTGTATATGTTTTACTTCCCTCACGTCACCTTAACTAATTACGTTTCTAGTTAATTTTGTTCCTTATCAAGATAAGGCCATGAAACGAGTGCGTCGTAAAGAAATCCGTTCTTGCATCATTACTTCGCGTCCGCGTGACACAAATCTTTTATACGATAGAGCTTCAACTGACAGATTTAATCTAGACTAAGTATATATATATACGATATACCGAGATTAGGATTTCACCATAGATAGTTATTACTGCTCATATAATTGTAAGGTGGAAGATCACAAACGTGAATAATTGGCTGTCCGACACTGTGCAAGTGTGATTAAATAGGCAAGATGGAACTACACCAATCAACCCAGTGAAGTGCAGATGGAAAACCCAACTACGAGACGGGTAAAAGTAAGGCAACTTGCGGCTAAATACATTTAAACTATTCCGAGTGGTAATTATGCATGTATGATATGGATACGAAAAGAAACGCGTCTTTAATGGGATAACATCCTGTACTGAACAAAAAAAGACAACTAAAATGGAAAAAGAACGACTTCGACGGTACTCCAATGATGTTGAAACGGCCGGATGGCTTTCGGGATGACGACGGCGACGTAGGGGCGAATGCGTAAATTTAAATACAAAAGCGAAGAAATCCATGAATTCACGAGGACTGCTCTGCATACTACTTCACTCGAATGCCCTTGTTTGGCTAAGGGAATTTTCCATTGTGCTTGTCTAGGTGTGAAGTCATAATGGCAGGATAGCCTTTTCTTCGGATATTCATTCGGTTGATGAACCCGAATTTAGCTAATGACACAGCGCAATTTTTATCTTATTTATTAATCCGTTATAATGAGATTATGTCATATTTAATTGCTCCAAAATATTGTTTACATTGTTTTCAGTGTTGTACGGAATTTCTCGGTGGTTTTCAGTACAGTGTATGTCGCTTCGCATCGACAACAAAAAAAAAAAGGACACGTTCCAACTTTGGACACTTCTGACTTTTATGGCCTAACAAGCGTCAATTCCTATTTTACACTTTTCACACATGTTCAATATAGACAGCCGGCTGATAGCAAGTGTGGTTTTACTAGCTGGAGTCGCTTGAAAGCTGGGTATGACCTTTAAAGCCGTACTCTCGAAGCATATTTTTCATTATCCTCGCATTTTTCTCGACAGGCGTCTGCTTAGCATCT